CTTCCATAACCTTAAGTAATATTAATATTAATAAAAGAAAAGAAAAACCAACATGAAATTTATTATTCAAACCTGTTATTGAACAATAAATAAGTTTATCATTAATCGATTGAAGATCTTTATATTCAAGACCAAATTTCTTCAATTGTCCAGGTAAATAATTCTCAATTAAAATATCACTTTTTTTAGCTAACTAATTTAATAATAATCATAAGAATTTATTTATATTTTAATTATATACAAATTACCTCACGAATAATTGTTTGACCTTCTCGACGACTCATATCGATAGCAATACTTTGTTTATTTCGATTAATACTTAAAAAATATATACTTTGATCTTCAACATATGGTGGTCCCCATGTTCGTGTATCATCACCTTGACCTTTAAGAATTGTACTTGAGAAATATCTAACAAAAAATTCTTTTTGTTTTTATTTACCAGGTTTTTCAACTTTAATTACATTTGCACCATAATCAGCCAATATCATACTAGCAAAAGGTCCTAAAAATGCATATTAATTATCAATAAAAAAAAAAAGCCAGCAAACATGTATCTCACCGGCTAAAACACGTGTTAAATCAAGGATTTTAACCCCATGCAATGGAAGCCTATCAATAATTGTCATTGTTAGAAGGAATTTTTTGTTTTTTTTTATTTATACAATAGATAATCAAATACCTGATTACAAAAATTTTATCTGCCTTTTACGAATGGTGTAGGAATAGAGCAATCATTTTCTTCTTCACACTGAAAAAAATGTGTCAGCCGTTGTCGGTCTTATTCGACGTTAAATATAGATTGTAACGTATTGCAACAATCGAAATTCTCTTCTCTCTGTAAAAAATAGCAAAAAAATAAATGAATCACTTTGTTGAATATGAGAGAGAGAGTACAAAAGGATGAAGTAGAATTTGCTTCTGGCAGTCCGAAATTACAATCAAAATGATTATTGATCGATGCAAAAAAAATCAATGAAGTCAATTGTTAAGGATTTGATAATTTTACATAGAGATTGTCAAGAAAAAAAATATGCGTATTTTAACTCCGACTTGTAACTGTTATTTTCCTTTATAGACAACAATGTCGAATTTCATCTACTTTTTACAACATGGATGAAATTCTATGAAACATAAAAAAGGACTAAAGAATAGAGTCATTTTTAAAAACCACATTAAACGTTGATTTTGGAAAAAAATACGAATAAAATTATAAGTAAAATTAGGATGAAAACGTAATTATAATGGGCAAGTTCATTCGTTAGCGACATGATTTCTCAAAATAAAAATGTTTTTGTATCTATGCTGAAATATTTCTTTTAACTACTTTTTATGTAGAAGATGTATGTTGAGTTGTTCTAGATATTCTGAAAAACTCAGCCTTAGAGATCTTAGTTCTGTCGAGTTATTATTGAAAAACCAACATTAGTGATGTAACGGAGAAGAGGACAATGGTTTTTACTGAGTATGTTTTTCTTTACAAATTCTGGAAGTATAAAAAAATATTTTTGAAAAGTAAATAGTGCATCTTGCGGAGAACTCTTCAGGCTACAAAATCTCTACACAAAGTATTTTCTGACTATCCTTAAGTTTTTTCAAAAAATGGAGTTTCATTTGTTGTTAATGCTATGAGTGAGAACGAATATAAAAACAAAAACTCTTCTGGTAAGTGAATGAGAACCTCAAAAACCAATTCTAAATAATACAAATTTTTCTTGATGATCGTGAGATGATAGCAAAACAAAAGAATCTCGTTCTACGATAAGAACAAAATTGACTATTGAAAGGCAATCTGTTGGAGTTCGATCTTGCTGGAAATTTCACCATAGATGTAGTCTATTCTGAAATTATTCGCGAATTATCTTTTAATTGATTAGGTGTGAGGTGAAAGAGACAATATTTTTTACATGTATTCATGGGAAAAGAATTTATTTAAAAAATAAACCTTATAAAAAATTAAACTCGAACTGAAAATGATCATGTTCCATTTTCTCTGATTTTGCCTTCTTATACAATGATTAATAAACTATATCTCATCATCTGACTTACTGAATAGCAGTCAAAGTTATTATCGTTATTTCAAAAATAATCTGCTTGCAATTCTCAGCAGTTTTGATCAACATCTAACCAAAATAATGTGAATATTTTTTTTTTCTATAGCATATTTTTTTGTTTACTTCATCTTAAACCCATAATAATCAATATTGAACATATTGAATTTCCAAAAAAATAAAACTTGCGTGTAAATCAATGAAACTCGGATGTATGCTATATTATTTCCGCATCGTACGTGTGTATGTCTTGAAAATCGTCCTTCATTTATCTGTTTCTTTGTTCGTTCTTTACTTATATTTTTTTCTTCTACCTTACATTAAAAAAAAGAGAAATCAAGAGAATAAAATCGATGTGCATTGGCATCGATGTTGTCTATCAATCATTGAAAAAAGAAAGAAATCAAGTAACAGAAAGCAATGAACTTTTTCTCATTATTGTTCATAACAATAATCTATTTGTTAAATAAAACTTCTAGTAAAATAATATTTGATACTATAAATACAAATATTGTAAGTACAAGAAAAAAAATTATTTTATGGTTTTTCTGGTTTTTTATTTCAATATTAATATTATAGAATTGGTTATATTTAACAAAATTTTCTTTTCATCCAATTTATGGACACATTGATATAAATTTACATGTGAGATTTTAAAAATATGTTATTTTTTGAGTTTTGTTGAGAAAAATAGAATTTCAAACTTTTGTTTTATAGTCATTGGATAATAATACAATAAAATTTTTTGTTTTAAATAAATACGAATGGAAAGAAATAAAAAATGATTTATCAAAAATTTGTTTAAAAAACGAATTACAATTAAATTCGATTGGCAATGAAACAAATTTAGAAGTTTTGTCATTATCTTTTACATCTATTGGTCAAATGTATTTTATTTTAAGTACATGTAATTCAAGTTTAAATACAACTGTAAATATATTTTTTACTTTCATTTCTTTGTTCAATACATATATATATATATATATATATGTCGTATCGAAGTTACACCGGTCGACGAAGTTATAACTTCGTCAACATTCTTG